GTAAGTCTGCGGTTGGATTTGCCAATTTACTGGTTGCGTTAATGAACTATGTAGTAATTTTTGGTTTGGTTGTAAAAAATCCTGGGCTGAATTTACCATTTTTTAAAAAATAAACTGGTCCCAGATTTTAAGACTTGTAATAAAATTAAAACTTACTGTTTTTTCTATGCCTTTTTGAACTCTTGTAAATTGGGATTTGATCACATTTTATATTAAAGTGGCTAACACATGGCTACTGTGGTGCAAGCCTTGTTTTTTGAAGGACTGGCATGTTAACCTCTGAAGCTTCATCCTCACTCTGAACTGCTGTGCTGAGAAGTACCCTGCCCTTTATTAGGTGGAGAGGACACTAGGTCCTTTATTTCTGTGTTCTCCATTCTGCAGCTTTGCCTCGAGGCTCGGGCTGTCAGCAGCTGAGTTCCAGAACAGCTCTGCAAACCAGTGTCTGCCTTTTTTGAAGGGAGTGTGTCAGGAACTTGAATCTGCAGTCTGCGGCACTAGCTATCCAGGACAGCCTTGGACCACTGCTCCTCTGTGGCAGGCGGTCCTGGGGCCTCGCCTGCCCGTCAGAGCTTAGGGCTCAGAAGCTCCAGGTGGCGGGTCTTTTATTTTTTGAGGCAGTGTCTCCTATGCTCCCCAGGCTGACCTCCAAATTATGACGATCTTCTTGTCTCTGGTTTCAGAGTTGGGGAGTTTTGAGCCATGATTTTTTAAAAAAAATCTTTATTTATTTAGTACAGGGTCTCACTACAGCTTGGACATGGAGTGATCCTCCTGTCTCAGCCTCCCCAGTGCCCGGGTTACAAGCATGTGCCCTACGCCTAGTTCTGGGACCTGTGGGGCCTTCGTGGGATGCAGTACCGAGGATCAAAGCAGGGTCTTGGTGCATACCAGGCAGGCGCTTAGACCGCTGAGCTATCTTCCCAGCCTAAGCTATGATTTTAAGTTTGCAGAAGTCACAGAATGGCTGCATAGGCTTGTTTCCGCAGGCACCATTTGCCAAAAATGCCTCTTCCCTTCAAAGTGGTGCAGCTTGGCAATGAGAGGTCCTTAGATGTCAGGCCGGGACGTTGCTAGAGGTACTTGTTTTCCTTCCTGGAATGTGCCATACTCCCCTTTGACTTTTTCCCTTCTGGTGTGACAGATTAAGTCTGGGGCTTTTGTATTAAGCTATCGGCCTGGCCCTGGTTTTTCTGCATTTTTGAATTTTGAGATAGGGGCTCACTGAGTTGTCCAGGTTGGGTTTAAACATACGATCCTTCTGCCTCAGCCTCTGAAGTGCTGAGATTACAGTGTGTGCCACCATCCCCGGTTGCATCATTCTTAAATTCAGGGCTGGCCTCCCTGTACTTGGCGGGTGTGAGTGGGCAGAGGGGGAGGGAACTGAGGATGGGGCCCTGTATTTGTGGAAATGGGTCGCACAGGGGCCCAGTGGGGGAGGCTGCCCCTCCTGTCATGGCGGGCACCTACTCACCCTGCAGGAGGTGGTGCTGAGGGGGCGAGGAGGACTTCCTTTTCAGTAATGCCCTCACGGCACTTGTCTCCAGGAGCAAACGGAACGGATCCACAGGACTGATGCACCTGTCTTCCCGACGGGGTGGGTTTGAGAGCCCACGTCAGCTTTCTCTGGGGCTCCAGAGGCTGCAGTAGCCCTGGGGCTCCGCAAGCCCAGGAGCCCGCTTCCTGGCTCCCACCAAAGCTCCCTCCCTGAGATGCTCCTGAGAGAACCCAGGTGCTTTGAGCAAGGCCTGCCTTGGGGAAGGGCTTGAGGGCGGTGCAGCCTGCCCTGCTGTGGAGCAGGAGGTGCCCCCAGAGCCCGGGTCCCGGCCTGGCCATGCGGCGGGCACTGGGCTGCATGGTGGGAGAGCTGACCCCCAGAACCGCACAGCGGGGATATGAGACCAAGAGTGATGGGCTACTATTGCAGCTCTGTTCTTGGGCAAAAGCCTCCTCTGAACCCAAGGCCTTCTCACTGGGTGGCACTGTGCTAGGTCACTTAGCTTCCAGATTGGGCTCTAAGTTAGCATTGCAGGCTTGTGTCACCGTGCCACCACAGCTGTTCATAACCAACTATATATATTTTTAATCTTACTTATTTGGTCCAGGGTCTTGCTACGCAGCTCAGGCTCATAGTGATCCTCCTCTCTTAGCCTCCCCATGCTGGAATTACGAGTGTGTGCCGCCATGCCCAGTTTCGGTGGTGACTGGCTCAGCATGGTACTGGAGATGGAACCCGGATCCTTGAGTGTGCCAGGCAGGCACTTAGACCACCAAGCTATCTCCCCGGCACATAACCAACATATTTGACCAGATGTTTGATTTTTGAATTGCCACTGCAGTACACTTGTAAGTGCTGGAGTCAACAAAGATGGGAATCTCATCTTCTGAAACTATCCTTCACGAAAAACACATTCTCATAGTGTCAGGGTTCATTGCATGTTCATGTTTTACGGAGGGATTTTAACATCAGGTTTTTGGGTCCACTGCTATGAAAATGGCCTTGGACTTTGAATAATTTAATAATAGGAGTTCTGTTTTAAAAATTACTGGGGGCCAGGGGCTGGGGAGATGGCTCAGTGGAATAAGTGCTTCCCTGGCAAGTGCAAGGGCCCGAGTTCAATCCCTGGTTCCGCAAAAAAAAAAAATAATAAAAATGATACCACCTTAAATTATGGGGCTGGTGAGATGGCTCAGTGGTCTAAAGCACCTACTTAGAACAAGCTTGGCAAAGCACAGGGACCGCGGTTCAATCCCCAGCACCACATGCCAGCCAGCCCCGCCCCCTGGTGGGCTGAGCTGGCCACACACACACACACACACACACACACA